CTCTATCCAGCAAGGCTATTATTCAAATTTGAGGGTGAAATAAAGAGTTTTGCAGACAAAAAAAAAAAAAAAAAAAAAGGCTAATGGAGTTTATTACCACCAAACCAGCATTGCAAGAAATGTTAAAGGGACAGTTGTAAGAAGAAGAAAGAAGAGAAAGAGCGAGAGGAACACAAGCATAAAGAATGAAAATGGCAACAAAAAATACCTATCAATAATAATCTTAAATGTAAATGGCTTAAATGCTCCAATCAAAAGACATAGCAAAGCTGATTAAATAAGAAAACATGACCCATATATATGCTGTCCACAAGAGACCCAATCTCAGAACAAAAGACTCACACAGACTACAAGTGAAGAGATGGAAAAAAATTTCCATGCAAATGGAAATAAAGAAAAAGCTGAGGTAGCACTATTCATATCTGACAATATAGACTTAAAAATGAGGCCATAACAAGAGACAAAGAAGAGTACCACATAATGATCAAACAGGATGACATAACCCTATTAAACATATATGCACCAAATATAGGTACACCAAAATACATTAAAAAACTCTTGGAGGCTGGTTTGGCTTAGTGGTTAGAGCGCCGGTCTGCGGTCCAGAGAGACCCAGGTTCAGTTCCCGCTAAGGGCACATACCTTGGTTGCAGTTTGTCCCCGGCCCTGGTTGGTTGTGCGGGTGGCAGCCACTCGATGTGTCCCTTTCGTGTCGATGTTTCTCTCTCTATTCCTCTCTCTCCCTCCCACTCTATCTGAACAAAAAATGGAAAAATGTCCTCAGGTGAGGCTAAAAAAAAAAACAAAACTCTTGGAGGACTTTAAGAGAGAGATTGACAATAATACAATTATAGTAGGGGACTTTAACACCTCACTAACATCACTTGATAGTCCAGACAAAAAATCAACAAGAAAACAGAGACCGTAAATGATACACTACATCTCATGGATTTAATTGATATTTACAAAACATTTTACCCCAAGCTGTAGAATATACATTATTCTCAAGTGCACTTGAGACATTCTCAAAGATAGAGCACATGTTAGGACACAAACTGTGTCTTTATAATTCAAAATAATGAAATTATATCAAGCATCTTCTCAGATCACAATATCATGAAACTAGAAAACAATTACAATAAAAACACTAAAAAACATTCAAATATATGGAGGCTAAATAGCATGTTATTAATGAATGGGCCCAGCCAGTGTGGCTCAGTGGTTGAGCACTGACCCATGCACCAAGAGGTTGCTGTTTTGATTTCCAGTCAGGGCACATGCCCAGGGTGTGGGCCCAATCCCTAATGAGGGGCATTCAGGAGGTGGCCAAAGAGACTAAAAAACAATACATAAGATCAGTGAAACCAAGAGCTGGTTCTTTGAAAAGATAAACAAGTTTGATGAACCTTTAGCCAGACTCACCAAGAAACAAAGAGAGGCCCTGGCCAGTTTGGCTCAGCAGTTAGAGCGTTGGCCTGTAGTCCAGAGAGATCCAGTTTGGTTCCCACTAAGGGCACGTACCTTGGTTGCAGTTTTTTGCCAGCCCCGGTTAGGGTTGTGTGTGTGGCAACCAGTCAACGCGCTTCTCTCACATTGATGTTTCTCTCTCTCTCCCTCTTGCTCTATGCAAAAATGTCATTGGGTGAGGATTTAAAAACAAACAAACAAACAAACAAACAAAAAAAAACAAGACAGAGAGGACCCAAATAAACAAAATCAGAAAAAAAAAAGAGGTAAAGTAACAACTGACACCACAGAAATACAAAGGACTGTAAGAAAATACTATGAAAAATTATATGCTGACAAAATGGACAACCTAGGTGAAGTGGACAAATTCCTAGAATCATACAAGCTTCCAAAACTCAGGTAGGAAGAGTCAGAAAACCAGAACAGACCAATAACAACTAAGGAAACTGAATCCGTAGCCAATAAACTCCCAGCAAACAAAACTCATGGTTGGGATGGCTCTGCCAAAAATCTACTAGATTCAATAAATGAATTTGACAAAATAGCAGGATACAAAAGTAAAATTCAGAAATTGATGGTATTTTATACACCAGTAATGAGCACTTAGAAAGAGAAACTTTAAAAAAGTCCCATTTACCATTGCAACAAAAAAGTTAAGATACCTAGGAATAAACTTAACCAAGGAAGTAAAAAAACCTGTTCTCAGAAATCTAGAGAACATTGAAAAATGAAATAGAGGAAGATATAAAAAAGTAGAAGCATATACCATATTCATAGATTGGAAAAATCAACATCATTAAAATATCCATCCTACCCAAAGCAATCTATAGATTTAATGCAATCTCTATTAAAATACCAACAGAATATTTCACAGATCTAGAACAAAACCTCCAAAAGTTTATATGAAACCAGAAAAGACCCCAAATAGCCACAGCAATCTTGAAAAAGAAGAACAATTTTGGAGGGCTCACACTACAAGCTTACTACAAAGCCACTGTAATCAAAACAGCCTGGTACTGGCACAAAAACAGGCATTTAATCAGTTGAACAGAACAAAGACCCCATAAATCAACCACAGGCATTATGTTCAATTAATATTTAACAAATATGGCAAGAGCATTCAATGGAGTAAATACAGTCTCATCAATAAATGGTGTTAGGAAAACTGGACAGGTACATACAAAAAAATGAAATTATACCACCAACTATACCATTCACAAGAGTAAACTCAAAATAGATAAAAAGACTTAAATGTAAGTCATGAAACCATAAAAACACTAGAAGTATAAGCAGCAAAATCTCAGACATCACATGTAGCGGAGTATTCACCAATAAATCACCTAGGGCAAGAGAAACAAAAGAAAAAAATTAATAAATTGGATTATGTTAAACTAAAAAGCTTATCCACAGCAAAAGAAACCAGCATTAAAATGAAAAGGGAACCCACTGTATGGGACAACATACATCAGATAAGGGGTCAATTTCCAAAATATATAAAGTACTCACATAGCTCAACAACAACAACAAAAACAACCCAATTAAAAATTGGGCTGGTTTGCTTAGTGGTTAGAGCATTGACCCCTGGGCAGAGGGGTCACGGGTTTGAATCCCAGAAAAGGGCACATACCTAGGTTGCAGGTTTGATTCCTGGCCTGGGGTTGTGTGGGAGGCAACCAATTGATGTATTTCTCTCACAGCTTCTTTCTTTCTCTTTCTTTCTTTCTTTCTTTCTTTCTTTCTTTCTTTCTTTCTTTCTTTCTTTCTCTTCTCTTCTCTTCTCTTCTCTTCTCTTCTCTTCTCTTCTCTTCCTTCCTTCCTTCCTTTCCTTCCTTTCTCTCTCTCTCTCTCTCTCTCGTTCTTTCTTTCCTCCCTTCCACTCTCTCAAAAAAAAAAAAAAAAAAAATCAGTGGAAAAATATCCTTGGGTGAGGATTAACCAAACAAACAAACAAACAAAAATTGGCAGAGGACCTGAATAGACAATTCTCCAAAGAGGACATACAAATGGTCAAGAGACATATGAAAAAAAATGCTCATGGTCATTAACCATTAGAGAGATGCAAATTAAAATGACTATGTGGTATCACCTCACACCTGCCAGAATGGCTGCCATCAACAAATCATCAAACAAGTGCTGGTGAGGGTGTGAAGAAAAGGGAACTCTAGCACACTGCTGGTGGGAATTCAGACTGGTGCAGTCACTATGGAAAACAATATGGTGGTTCCTCAAAAAATTAAAAATGGAACTGATTTGACTCAGTGTTCCCACTTCTAGGAATATATCCTAAGAAGCCTGAAACACCAATCAGAAAGAATATATGCGCCTCTATGTTCAAAGCAGTGCTGTTTGCAATGGCTAAGATCTGGCAACCGCCCAAGTGTCCATCAGTAGGTAAGTGGTTAAAAAAGCTATGGTACATTTACACAATGGAATACTATGCAGCTGTTAAAAAAAGATATCTTACCCTTTGAAACACAGTATGGAGGGACCTGGAGAACATTATGCTAAGTAAAATAAACCAATAAGGGAAAGACAAATATCACATGATCTCACTTATATGTGGTGTAATGAACAAAACAAACTGATGAACAAAATAGACCCAAAGTCATGAAGTAGGGAACAGACTGACAAACCTCAGAGGGAAAGGGGGCAGGGGCGGGAAGAGATTAACCAAAAAATTTACATGCATGTATGCATAACCAATAGACACCGACAACGGTGTGGTGAAGGCAGGGGAGACAAAACCGTAGGAGGGTGTCAGCAGGCAGAAAAAAGGAGGACGTCTGTAATACTTTCAACAATAAAAATAAAATAAAGGAAAGCGAGAACTAGAAAAATAACTTGAGGGGGCGGAAAAGCCTTGCAAACTCCCCCACATCACCCACCAAACAGGTGAGACTCAGATATTTCCAGGCTAGAGTCAAGGCATCGCTGTGGAGCCGCAGAACTTGTTGAGGGAAGGGAGATTATTGTGGGAGTCAAAGAAGGCAGTCCCCATTTCCGAAGAGCCAAGAGAAGCCATTTCCACTAGTTAAGTAACATGGCAAAGCGGTAAAATGGTGACAAAGAGTCCGGGTGAGCGATCCTGACAGTGTGTCGTCGGAAAGTGTGGGATAGAAAAGGGGACCGCTTGCGAAAGATGGTATCAGCGAAGGCTTCTTGGAGGAGGTCGCCTTAACCTAAGTGTGGAAGGTGGGCGGAGAGGAAAGGTCGGGGCATTCCCAGCTTGGAGAGAACTGAGTCCGCGCCCCTCCGCCGCTGTCCTCCGGCCCCCCCTGGACTCCCCTTTCTCCTCCGCCTCCCTTGGCCTCCGCGCGGAGCTCAGGTTCCCAGCACTGACGTCAGCAAGGCGATTACCTCAGCGCAGTGGAGGCGGCGGGGGCCAGCTCCTAGGGCGCGCAGCGGGGCGGGGCGGGGCTCCAGCCCCTCCCTCATCCGCTGGCGGCGACCAATAGGCCAGGCCCCCGGATCCCCCGCCTCTCGGCAGGGTATAAAAGGAGCTTCCCAGGCGCTGTCGCGGTAGAGCCCCGGTGGCTAGAGCTCCTGCGGCGGCGGAGTGAACCCATCATGAGGAACAGCACGACCTCCAGAGACCTCTCCCAGCTCCCCGCTGCCGCCCCCGGAGCCGCGCACGGTATGAGCCAGACCGGCTGGAGCGGGAAGAGAACAAACATGCTCCCGGAGATCGCCGCCGCCGTGGGCTTCCTCTCCAGCCTCCTGAGGACCCGGGGCTGCGTGAGCGAGCAGAGACTGAAGGTGTTCAGCGGGGCTCTCCAGGAGGCACTAACAGGTGAGCCCACGCCAACGGTTCCAGGCCCGTCGCACCCCGACAGCGGGGCTCGGTCCCCCTCTCTGCCTGGGGCGTCCCTGCTGCCCTCCACGGTCAGGGCTCCTCACGCGAGCAGCTCCGAAACTCGGTCCCTCCAGCCCAGGGCGGCTCGCAGGCCCCCATTGTCCCGGGTCACGTCTCCTTTCGGGCCCTGCGCTCAGGTCTCGGTCCGTGATGCTTCTTGCGGACAGCGGCGGGCACAGGTTCTAGTCCTGGAGTGCGATTCTGACTCCCCGGCTTTCGCCCGGGAACAGGGGTACCTGCGTGTCTGAGTGCGGGTTTGTCCCCCTCACTGGACTCTGAGAGCTGCAGGACGCCGCGCTGACACATCCCGCCGGCCAGAGGAGCTCTTTGGGGAGAAGAAGGCGCACTCGAGCCTTCTCCGCAGCTGGAGTCCCAGCCCCGGTCCTTCCGGCTGTGCGAGAGGCGCTGCTCCTAGGCGGGCTGTTGACTCGCTCCGAGTTGGAATCCGGCTCCTTTTGTATTCTCTCGTCCCCTTAGCCATCTGCCACCTGTTGTGGTGCCAACAGAGCCTTGTAGATAACAGGAGTTGTGCTTTCCGGGAGTGAGTGTTGGGGAGCAGGGGGCTGCACGAGGCAGGGGGCTGCGCGAGACAGGAAGGTGAACAAGAGAAAAGCAGCTGCTGGCAGGTGGAGAGACCTGCCTCCCAACTGTTTTTAGCCCCTTGGCCAGCGGTGTTGGGCAGCGACAGCCACTTCTAAATGTGCCCACACAGGCCCCACCTTCTGAGGATCATCGTATGTTTCACTAAAGCAACCCTTTTTGACTCCATAGCCAGCCTGTTGCTAAGGGTCTCTGACTTTTGAAGGAGTTAGAGGGAACCTCTGGGGCCCAGGATGGGAGGTGCAGTAAGTAGCTGTATATCCAACAGTGATGATTGTCTTCCTGGGTTTGAAACGGGAAGTTATGACAAACTACCTCGTTAATCTAAAATCACTGGGTCCCTTCCTCTCCTTTATCCCCTCATCCCCTCTTGCGGTTGTAGCACCCCTGGTCCAGCTGCTCTAACCAAGTCATCTCCCCTTTGTCCTGTTTCCACAGAGCACTACAAACACCACTGGTTTCCTGAGAAGCCATCCAAGGGCTCTGGTTACCGCTGCATCCGAATCAACCACAAGATGGACCCCATCATCAGCAAGGCGGCCAGCCAGACTGGACTTAGCCAGCCCCAGCTTCACCGGCTGCTGCCCCGAGAGCTCACCCTGTGGGTGGATCCCTATGAGGTATCCTACCGAATAGGGGAAGATGGCTCCATCTGCGTTCTGTATGAGGAGGCCCCGCTGGTCACCTCCTATGGGCTCCTCACTTGCAAGAACCAAATGATGCTGGGCAGGAGCAGCCCCTCCAAGAACTATGTGATGGCCGTCTCCAGTTAGCTGCCCTGCCACCTCTACTCGGCACTGTAGTCATCCGGCACTCTAGTCATCGTGACAACAGGCCACAACATACCTCAACCTGGGGAACTGTATTTTAAATGAAGAGCTATTTACATATTTTATTTTTTTAAGAAAAGGGGAGAAAAAAACCTAAAGATGTTTTTAAAGAAGAAAAATCCTTAAAGGTTGCTGCTTGGAAGCAGCCTCCCCAGGTGCCTTTGGAGAGAATTGTGTGTGCTTCAGTCTGGGAGCCAGTGTCTGCCTATGGGAGGGGGGAGTGGTTAGGTGTGGGCCCAACCAAAGTGAGGTGGAGAAGCTTGGCCTGCATCTCAAGAAGATGTGAGAGGGGGCAAGCATGGTTAGCAGCTGTGAATGAGCGATAGGATCTGCCCTGGTGGGGGTGGGGGCGAGTGAGGCTGATTCAAACCTCTCACTCTCTTCACCAGGACACCTGCATTCCTGACCTCAGGGGCATTTAAGCCTAAACTTAACTCATGTTGCCTAATCTTTACTTTTATTTTTCTGATGACATCCTGGGCACAGAGTGATTCCTTCTGTCCCAAGCAGTTTTTCTTAACGTCATCACTTGTTTCTAATTCTATCCTCAGGGACCTGTAGATGTTGCTTCCCAGCCAAGAATCTATAAGCTTTTTTGTTTTGTGGGGGTCAGGGGAGTAAGGCAGGGCTTGGGGGTTACTAGAGTTGGGATGGAAGGGTCCCCCACACGAAACCTTTGCTTTGCAATATGCTGCTCTGTGTGTAGGTGTGGTGAATAACTTGGGGGTGATTTGCAATGGAATTTTAGGACCCAAAGAGTATCCACTGGGTATTTACAAAACCCTTCATTTTGGAACCACATGAAAGTCCTAATGCTGCTGCCATTATCCCATTGAAAGGTGGCTCAAAAGCTACAGGGAACTCCAAGTCCTTTATTACTGCCTTGTTTTTAGAAGCACAACACTCCTCTCTAATGCTCCCTCCTCCTCTCCCCTCTGGTTGGGTCATGGAGCTACCGTATTTTCTAGAACAAGAGTTCTCAATCACTGTGCAATATGGCCTCCTAGTCCCAGGAGTGTGGAGAACTGGCCCTTAGAACCTCCTGGTGCTCTGGTGGGCTGAGGGAGCCATCTCTCCCTCTGTCCTCGGAACTGTGGCTGTCTGCTCAGCCTTGCAGGTATCCCTTGGCTGAACAGGGAAAGCCCAAGTTCTGTAGGGTTACTGGTATTCTTGCAGGGCTGACACTAAAAACCAAACCTTGGGCATTGTTTTTTCTTTCTGGTGCTCAGAGCACCTCTGGGAGAGGTTGCTGTGTCTCTCAGTGCAATCCAAATTTGTCTGTAGACTTGTGCAATATTTACTGTTCTGGGTTGGAGAAAAATGGAAAACTACCTTTGGTTTCTCAGTAATATTAGTGAGGGGTCCTCAGAAGGCCTTGAGTTTTCCAAACCTGAATCGCCTTAAAAAGGACATAGCTTGAACATCTGGTCAACCTGGCTACCCTCCTCCTATTGACCCTTGTAAGGAACCTTCCTCCCCAACCACTAAACTCCCCTCCCCACTGCATCTCCCTTTCCTGGGTTTCTTAAATACTCAATTCTGACTCAGAGGTGCTATTTATCAAACACTCTCCCAACCCATTCCTGCTTGTTCTGCCTCCTTTTCAACCCTCCAGAAACAAGCTGTTTTCCCAGACCCTGCTTCCAGTCTTTATTGCTTTAAAGGTGGCTTCTGACCCACAGACCCAAGAGCTCATTTTCCGGCCTGTGGGTTGAAACAAAGCTGTGAATCACTTAAGATTATGTTGTTGCATATTGCAAACAGGTCCTACCTTTTTAGAAGCACCCTCATGGTCTCATGCTTAATCTTTTCTCTCTTCTTTTTGATGTTCACTTTAAAAACAAAATGCCCAGAGCTGGACTGTTGAGCAGGCCTGTCTCTCCTATGAGGTAAAAATAAATAGTAGTGCATTTGTAAGTTATTCTGAAAGAAAAGACAAAGGTTACTAATTGTACAATAGTGTTTTTATATGAAAGAATGTACAGCTTTATGGACAAATGTACACTTTTTTGTTACTTTAATAAAACTGTAGCAGATGAAGTTGTGTGGTGTAGAGAAGGTAAAATTCCCACATCATTAATTTGGGTGTCTTTCAGATCCAGATCCTTTCTTTGTGTCTTCAATTGCACTCAGAACATCTATAGCATGTGTCTAGATAAAAGGAAAATCTAAGTTGCATGGTGAGGGCATTTCCAAGCATTCCCTCTTCTCTAGGAAGTAGCTCCTTATTTACTTCCTCTAATGCACAGTCTAACAGTTCCCTGTGAAAATGCTATATGTGAGAGGATTCGTCTTAATACATCCTGTATTCACTCCCTCCATTCAGCAAGAATGTGTTGTCAGTAAATTCTGGGAACTGGAAATATTAAAGATGATGAAGACACACAACCTGCCTTCTCACAGACTCGGGTGGTGAGCAGGGAACACTGAGTCCCTTCCCAGGTTGAGGCAGAATTGTTAGAAATTCCTGGTACTGGCTCTCCTGTCCTCTCTGGAGTTACCATTTGCTACCTGTCATTCTTGTCTTATTGGACAAGAACAGTTGGACCTTTATGGCCATAGGTGCTGTTTCTAAATTTTAAACATGTTGACTCATGAACAATAGGATTGCCCTCCCCCTCAACACGTACACACACTTCATTTCACACCTCCATGACCCTTAACAACAAACATAGTTTGACATAGGTGTCCTAGGTGGCAGGTGGGCCCTAGAGGCTCTGTGTGATAGGCTGGAAGGTCAGATGAGCCAGGATATGGGGATGGAGGAAGCCAGCTCATCTGTATCATAAATAGAATTGGTTATGGGAACCCACTTGTGTCAAGGAGTTGTTATTTAAAGGAATGTTCCCATGTTCATTTGTAGCTCCTAATATAAATGTTCTAGGCACTCATTTATAAATAAGGACCCACATTTTGGGTGTAAGGACCCATTGTTAAGGTTGGATTTTTGCCCATCCAAGAGTGCTGTTCTCTTATTTGATACAAAGTCTGCATCTATCTTGTTTCCTAAAAGGCCCCAATCATGAAGAATATTTCATTTAGTAGAAAGCATGAAATTCATTGAAGCTTGTTTGGAGGTTAAGGGGACATCATCACACACCTCTGTCTCCAAGCCAGGGAAACTGCAGAATGGCAGTTCATTTTGGGGTTGCTCTTGACTCTTGGCAGACCAGTAGTCCCTCAATTTACTTGGAAGGATTCTGTGATCAAGCAATGTGTTATTTGCTTTAGATCTGACCAAGTTCAGCAGGGGTGGAGAGTGACGCCTGGCCAGCTGAGGTACAGGGGCTATGGATAGAAACTGCCTACAGAGTTGCAGGTGGTAGCTTTATGTGTCAAGGACTGAGCATTAGTCAATCATTCTGCTCCCAGCTTCCCCAGTTGGTAAACAGTGCCAGCCTGGCTGAGCACTGGGAGCCGGTGCTCAGTCAGCTGTTTCTGGATGATAATGTGCCTCCCAGAGAGTTTAGACAAGGCCCTGGCAGCTGCAGATTAAGAGCCCATCCCGGCTCCTGATAAGGAAGTTTGGGTGGGTCAGTCCATGATGCTGCAACAAACAAGCTCCAGGAGGAAGAAACCCCCTTCTGTGAGTCTGGCTTCTGATCATTTAGCAACCTTTGGCAAGGGAAGATAGGCCTCCTGGCCTCCAGACCAATGTCAGCACCCTCACCCAACAAACCATGGCACACTAAAGAGAGATATAAGGACAAGGACAGAGAAAAGAACTGAATATCATGGGAACAAATATAGGGGGAAGGGGGAGATATCACTGGACAGGTGCCTGGGAGAGATGGTCTGAGTCTTGAGAGGTGAGTTAATCAGACAAAGTGGGTGGGTAGAAGGGGGGCAGGGTATTGCTTGAGCAAAGGCCGAGAGGCTATACAGTCCCAGGCACAGGTTAATGGACACCAATTGAGTGAAGGTGGGGAGAGCTGCTTCCAGTTGAATCCTTGCAGGGGAAGCAGAGGTCCTATGTGTGCTCTTGGTTCTATCGGGAACATGCTGGGTACGCTTTCCCCAGACTGTGGCCATGGAGACAGCCTGCTATTAATGTGCTTGATACAGAGCCTCACTCCTAGTATGGGGGGGCAGGTCATAAACCCTCACATCCTCACACCCAGATGGTCCCAGGTGCATCATAGGTAACAAAATGAGGGCCTAAGAACATATGTACTTTAAAAAAGTGTTTAACACTTTAAAAAAATAGTTGCCATTATTAGAATTTAGGGAGATGTCAAATATATATAAAAGTACATTTCTAGTTTCTCTAGAAAAGTCACAATATCTGGTATCAATGGTCTTTCAGAATGACAGTGGACTAAAGCTAAGGAGTGGGGTGAAGTGGAGGTGGGGGTTGGTTTGAGCTTACTCTCCAAGTTTAGCACAGATTCTGTCCAGTCATCTTTACTTATGGATTTCCTGGCCCACACTCTATTCCCGGGTGCTCACTGACCTTTAAATGGCTCCTCCCTGCTGGTGGTGGTAAATAAAGTCACCTTTGCTTCAACTGGCCCAGCCACACCCCTTTTATCTGATGGGCTCTGGGAAGCCTGTCTAGTTTACTGGACAAGGGTTGAATTAGGACCTGCCTTTGTCTATGGTGAGTGGTAGTGCCAGGTGCCAGCTGGGAACAAAATGACTTGGAGCTGATGGGTCCAGAGAACCAGGCTCCTATCAAAGCAAGAGATAGAACTGGCTGCACACCTGGTGTGCACTCGTTTGCATAAGATTGTTATCTAAGGCCATGGTCACTTCTTAGACTGAGCTCAAACATTTTTCTTGCTAGTTCTGTAAAGGAATGATGCAGAGAGAAAGCCTCATCAGGCTTGCCCTTCTCAATTTCTTCATTTCTCTCTCTTCTGGGAAGAGAAATTATGTGGGTGTGATTCCACATGTGGGCAGAATAGAGGTAAACAAAGTTGTTACCGGAAAATCCCTTTCCCACCCACTCTGTATGTGAAAGAGCATGTATCCCAGTTTATTATTAATCCATAAGCAGACCGTGGAGCCAGCAGGTCAAAGCTGTTCTGTGGCCAATGAAATGAGCTGTCTGGCAAGGACACCACACATTTCAGCAAGAATGACAGAGGTCAGATGTGAATTCACTCATTCATTCAACCAGCAGGTTCTTAGAGCGCTTCTTATGGGTTACCTGTGACACTAGGATGGGCTTTGGGATTGTGAAGATTTTTAAACAAAGGATTAAAAGCCCTCTTTCTATGGAAGAAAACACAGACTTGCATGGATAGTGTTAACTGTAGCCATTTTGGGATGCACTAGTAGGAACTATTACTTAATAAAGGTTTCCTTCCAGTTATCAGAATGCCAGCCTGCCCTTATTCATCTCAGGACCAATTTGGAGTCCCTTGAAGAGATGAGATTAACTTCTACTTAAAACTACAATTCTCATGTATTGAGCACTTAAATGTGAAAAACACTAATTCCAAGTAGTTTATTGATCTCATTTAATACTTGTAACAACATTATGAGATGGATTCTATTTTGAATCCACTTTTACAAATGGGGAAGTGGAGGCCTAGTTGGTGAAGTAACTTGGCCCAGGTTGCACAGCCAGTAGGTAGGAGGAAGAGCTGATGAGATCCCCTCAGGCAGCCTCACACCAAAGCCTGCGTGCCTCACCTCTGCAGCTGCCCCACTAGATTGGAAACAAACTAGAATGTGATGCAAACAAGAGGAGGTTATTATTTATTGCACTTTCCAGCTACCAAAAACTTTTCAGTTAAACTAATTGAAAATGATGATAATCATTGCACTAATTTGCCCTAAAGTGATTGCAAAAATAATGAAGATGATTTAGAATCAAAAGCTGAATAAAGGAATAGAAGTCATCTTATCCAACCCCCTAATTTCTGAGACAGGAAAATTGAGGGGCTTGTCCAAACACACACAGCTGGTTAGGAAGAAGAATCCAGATTACCACCCATATATTCTCCCTCCCAGTCCAGATGCGCACAGGAGTTATTGCATCAAGCACATCAATAGCAGGCTGTCACCATGGCCACAGTCTCAGGAAGAAGCATTCAGCATACTCCTTATAGAACCAAGAGCACACATAGGACCTCTGCTTCCCCTGCAAGGATTCAACTGGAAGCAGCTCTCCCCACCTTCACTCAACTGGTGTCCATTAACCTGTGCCTAGGACTGTATAGCCTCTGTTCAAGCAATACCCTGCCCCGCTTCTACCCACCCACTTTGTCTGATTAACTCACCTCTCAAGACTCAGACCATCTCTTCCAGGCACCTGTTCAGTGACATCTCCACCTTCCCCCTATATGTGTTCCCATGATACTTAGTTGTCCTTGTCCTTATAAGTTGAAATCTTAGCTAGAATGTGGGCCTAGGACCTTGTCACCAGTGTCTGGTGCTTCATAGGCATTAGTGAATATTGGTTGAATAAATGTCAAAGTTGTCAAGAATAAGAAACTAATAGATGAAAGGGATTTAGATCAGGTGGAAGAAAAAAGAAAATCAAGTCCATCCAGGATCTGCCAGGGAGGAGTCCCAGCTCAAAATAGCCAAACCTATGGATTATACCTTGTTAAGAAAACAATCTATCATTGTTCTCAACATGGCAGCAGGCAGTACCAGAGTGAGGGTGACAGTGTGAGTGGGTGAGCATGTGTGAGGGAGAGTGTGCATGAGTGTGAGTATGGTGGATATATGTCTTTCAATATAGGAACTAGGGGTAGGTGGTTTGGGCTCTCCTAGGAGGGGAGCAGCTGGTCACCACTGTGCACTGCTCAGCTGGTGCTTGTCATCACTTGGGATTGAAAAGCATGCCATTTTGGAAGATTCACAGGGTCCTCCTCAGGAGGAGGCTGTGGGGAGTAGCCATGATCCAGTGCCCCAAGGCCCAAAACAGGCACAACCACCCCACCACTGCAACCTTATGCATCTGGCCCCTCCGCATGACCCAATGCTCCCCCAATGATGAGACCTGCCGTCCAACATGGTTGACACATTGCCCCAGATGACTGGACCCACTAAAATAGAGAGACAAAGAAATGACCCCCAGGTGAAAAAAAAAAAAAGGAGGAATGGAGGCAAACAATTTATCAGATGTAAGGTTCAAAGTAATGGTTATAAGGATGCTCAAACAACTTAATAAGAACTACAAGCAACTTAATGAAAACTTTAAGGAACCTGGAAAGAACTACATCAGGAGGAAAAAAGATGTAAAAACCATGAATAAGAATCCGTCTGAAATAAGGAATGACGTAGCTGAAATCAAGAATACCATGGAAAAAGAAAACATGAAAAAAACAAAACAAAAAAAACACCAAGAAACAAAACAACAAAAAAAGTAATACCCTGGAAAGAATCTACCCTAGATTGGAAGAAGCTGAAGACCAAATTAGTCAATTAAAGTGAAGGTTGAATAAAATACCCAACTAGAGCAGAAATTAGAAAAAAGAATTTTTTTTTAAAGCAGGAGGAGAGTTTAGGGGAGCTTTGGCATAACATAAAATATAACAACATCAGTGTCATAAGGATATCAAAAGTAGAAGAATCTGAGCGAGGAATAGAGATTCTATTTGAAGAAATAATGACAGATAAATTTCTTAACCTGGTGAGAAAAAAAATCACAGAAGTCCAGGAAACACAGAGCATCCCAATCAAGATGAACCTAAAATGACCCACACCTAGACATATCATAATTAAAATAGCAAATGTTAAAGACAAAGAAAGAATCTTAAAGGCAGCAAGAGAGAGAGACAGAGAGTTATACACAAGGGAGCTCCAATTAGACTGTCAGCTGATTTTTCAATAGAAACACTTCAGGCTGGAAGACAATGGCATGAAGTTATACAAAGTAATAAAAAGCAAGGGACTGAATCCAAGTTTACTCCATCCAGCAAGGCTATCATTAAAAATTGAAGGTGAAATAAAGAACTTCTCAGACCAAGAAAAGGGGGGTGGGGGGGACTAAAAGTGTTTATTACCACCAAACCAGCACTGCAAGAAATGCTAAAGGGATTGAAAAAGGAGAAGGAGGAGGAGGAGGAGAAAGAAGAGAGAAAGAGAGGAACACGGGCATAAAGAATAAAAATGGCAATAAATAAGTACCTATCAATAATAATCTTAAATGCAAATGGCTTACATGCTACAATAAAAATACATAGGGTAGCTGAATGGATAAGAAAAATGACCCATATGTATGCTGTCTACAAGAGACCCACTTCAGAACAAGACACACACAGGATAAAAATGAAGGAATGAAAAAAATTTTTCCATGCAAAGAGAAATGAAAGAAAAGCTGGGATAGCAACACTCATATCTAATAAAATAGACTTCAAAATGAAAACCATAATAAGAGAAAATGAAGGTAACTACATAAAAATCTATGGCATTTTTATACACCAAAAATGAACTCCCAGAAAGAGAAAGTAAAAAACCAATTCTATTTATCACTGCAACAAAAAAATTAAGATACCTAAAAATAAACTTAACCAGGGAGATAAAAAAAAACAACAACCCTATACTTGGAAAACTATAGGACATTGCAAAAAAAAAAAGATAGAGGAAGTTATAAACAAGTGGAACAATATATCACGTTCCTGGATTAGAAGAAATAACATCATTATAATGTCCATACTACCCAAAGCAATCTATAGAGTCTATGCAATCCCTATTAAAATACCAACAGCATATTTCACAGATCTAGAACCAAAACTTCAAAAGCTTATATGGAACCAAAAAAGACCCTAACTAGCCACAGCAATCTTGAAAAAGAAGAACAATGTTGGAGGGATCACAATACCAGATATCA